CTTGTCCTTTTGAAGTTCAGGACAATTGTTCTTGTAGTGTCCTGGCTCATTGCACTCATAACAAGTGACTTCTTTTCAACTAGACTTCCTTTTATCAGAAGTAGACTCAAAGAGACCACTTGTCCTTCTAGTACTTCTGAACTTGTTGCCTTTATCTTTCTTCTAGAGATGGTTAACTCTTCTGGGCAGTAGTGACAACTAATCTTCATCAGAATCTTCTTCTGGATCCTCAATCTCTTCAGCTTGAAGAGCTTTAGACTTCTCAGATCTTATGATAGATTTAAGCGCAATAGATTTCCCTTTCTTCCGAGGTTCATCATGTTCTAGATCAATCTCATGACTCCTCAAAGAACTCACAGTTCTTCTAGAGAAGTGTTGTTCAGATCTTTACAAGTTTGAGTGTAGCTACCATAAGCCTCCATTTGGATGGAAAGCTTCTGATAATCTTCTTCACGTAATCTGACGTAGAATACCATTTGTCCATAACTCTCATTCCTGCAACTAAGATTTGAAACCTTGAGAACATAATCTCAATTGTTTCATCATCCTCCATCTTGAAGGCTTCATACTTCTGAATGAAGGCCAGAGCCTTGGTCTCCTTGACTTGATCATTCCCTTTATAAGTCATTCTGAGAGAATTAAATATATACATAGTTGAGTCTCTATTTGTGATCTTCTCATACTCAGTATAATAAATAATATTCAGCAAGATATTTATTGCTTTATGATGATTCTTACCATACTTTTTCTGTTGATCAGTCATAGCTTTTATTTCAATTGTCTTCCCATCAGCATCTGTGGGAGGATTGTAGCCATCAACTACCATATCCCAAAGATCACCGAAGCGAAGCAGCGATGGACCCAATCGCCTAGTTCATTGGGAGAGCATCAGGTGAGAGAGAGGTGAGCAGAGTGCTCCTAGGGTCTTCGGACGAGGCTTAGGTGAGAATACATGACAGTGACTTCAAAGTGTCATAACTTGAGTTTCAGGACTCTGTTTGACGTGTCATTCAAACTGTTTGAAAGTTAACACGCAAAACTGTCTTATAGCATAATTGTATGAAGAATTTGATGTATTATTCTTTTGTTTATATATTTATGCGTTTGGATTATTATAGGTATATTGTGATGTCTTGTTGAAGTGATGTAACATGATGTATTCTAATGATTTTACCATGGGGATCGGTATTTGATGATATTGTGATGATTGAAGTTTAATAATGTGCATGTTTAATGTGTATACATGATATGTGAAGATGATTATGTGAATGATGATGCAATTGACTAGATGCATTTGAACTTTATGTGACGTGTTCTGCATCATGCATTCATATCATTTTTGAACGGTGGTCTGCTTGTGATGAGTCTCAATCCCATTGTGTGGATTAAGTGCACTTGTAATGTGCTCCGGTTCTAAGAGGGAATCAATCATGTGGTCGGGATCATGGAGGGTGATGAATCAGGTGTTTATAAATTTTGGTACCACATGCATTGAGTTAGTATTGTAGCATTAACATCCTATGTGACATTGTATGAATTTTGTTAATGAGATGTGATATGATGATGATTGTGAACTGTGTGAGTATATAATGATTTTGATGATGAAAGATGTCTAAGTGCTATTATGATGTATCAACGAGTATGAAGTGTTGATGAATAATATGTGTTGTTATATGATGATGTCGTTTATAACTACTAATCTTTTCCTTATATCTTTCATAATGAATTGTGATTACTCACCCTTTCTATTTGAATGTTGTCTCTACGTGGATAATGCGCAGATGCTCAGGAGTAGCTTGTACGATCGTTGGAGATAGCTTTGGAGTATTTTATTAGTTTTAATTTATTATAGGTGTCTTGCTTTAATATGTAACATCGGGTTAGGAACACTATGTTTTGTGATGTTATATTCCTTTTATGTTGACTTACTTTATGACGGTTGATTGTTAAACTGATTTTAATTCCAACTTTTGACGAGACTAAAACATTATGAGTTTTGTTTTATAAAGAAGTTTATTCGTGATGATAAATCTGTTGTGATGTTGTTGAATGACTGGTTTAAAGTATAACAATGTGTATTTACTATTGATGTAACTCGTGCTATGGAGCAAGATTGTTATTAAGATGTTTTCTATGAAGTGTGACACCATTGAGTAATGATTTTACTTGAATTATTTTGTAAATTATATGAGAAATACATGTGGGGTTTGAAGGGTGTTACATTAATACTTAAAAACCAATGAAAAGATTTAAAAGAAATGAACAAGATTTAAAACACACCATGACATTTCGAAGCACATCTACTAATCATATTCAATATAAAAAAGTCTCTCATTTAGTTGTTGGATCAAAGCCATTTCTAAAAATGTATCTAATATATTATCTAATATCTTAACATAGTGTAGTTCGGTTTGTTTTGTTTCTATTTACAAAGCACAAACCACAAATCAAATTGAACCGCACATTTTTATTAAAATACGGCCTAAACATATCCTAACCAAATACAATATTTATGGTTTTTGATTTAGTTTGATTTGATTAGTGGTTTTCTCTTGGACTATTTCAATTTTGAACACTCCTAATACCAATAGCGGTTAAAACTGCTCGAGGATGATGTGACATATTGTGCTGACAACCTTTAAATTGAATTGGACGATGATTGATGCGCAAAAGGGAGAAATTACATGTTTCTTATTAGAACGAAGGTATACCTGCTTTGCGTCTTTCAACTAAAGATTCACAATTGAACTTTTTATTATAAGACTTGTGAACAATATTTTAAAACCTGGATCGGTCATTGACCCGGTCAAGTTATTTGGTCACTAGATTATTGGTCGAATTAGTAGGTCATTAGTCAGACCACATGATTTCTAATTCAATTTATACAAATTAAAAAAAAAATTATATTCATAAAATAAAAATTTTAACATAAATTTTAAAACTATAAAATCTATAAAAAAAATCTAGAAATTAATTCATGCATTTAAGTTGGATAACAATCTTAGATGAAATTTCAACTTTCAAATATAATAATTTATTGGTTCTCATAAATTAACAAAAACAAAAGTAATTGTATGATTATGATATAATAATACCATAAACTTATATAGAAGATAAACAAATATTATACTTTATATAAATAATTAAAAATAAAAGTTAAAGCAGAAAAATAATAATAATTAAAAAAATTAGTAAAAATAATATAACTTTTACTTAAAAATAATAATGAGATTTATATTAAAAATAATGTGAAAATTTAATTTCATCGGTAATATAAATATTTTTTCTTTATTAACATGATTTTTTTCAAAACTTTTATTAATTTATAATATTGTTAAATCATATAATAAATTTTATGACTTTTTAAATTTGTAAATTATTATATTTGTATGATTAATAATAAATGTGTTTAATAATAGTGCATTAGATAGAAATGTTATAATTATAGAATATATAATTTTCTTTTCTTTTACCATATTAAATATCAAAAAGATTCGTAGTGCAGTTGGTAAAATTATAATACTAATAGTTTTAAAAGGTTCGAAGCTCAATTCTAAAAATATGACAAAATTTTATTTTTGAATTTTTTATATTATTTAGTTATTATAAATAAGAATTTAATTAGAATATATAATCACATTTAAAATTATGTTTGATTTTTATTTTAATTATATATAAAGTAATTATTATGAACGATTGTGATGGATTGACAGTGTAAATTTTTTTATAATGACTATGCATAACAATTAATCTCTATAAATAATTAACATAATTATAACTATTAATAAAATAAAGGGTTAAATATGTTTTTGATCTTTATAAATTATAAAATTTTGATTTTGATTCCTATAAAAAAACTGACATGTTTTAGACCCTACAAAATTATTATGCACATAATTTTAGTCTCTGCTATTAAACCGATGTGTATTTTTGAATGATTATTGTTTAGAGATGTTTAGGACGATATAAAAAATTTATTGAAAAAAAAACTCAAAATTTAATTTCAAAATCGAGATGTTTTTTGCTTTTATCAATATCTTTTGAAATTTTAAAAAATTATATTTAATTCTTTTAATTTTAAAAAATTCTAAAATTTAGTAAATAAATATTTTTGAATATTTTAAACACTTATGAAAAAAAATTATTCAAAAATTTAAAAATTTAAGATTAATTAGACAGTTTTCAAAATTTTAGAAAATAATAGAAATTAAAACTGCATAAATAATTTTTTTATAAAAACCAAAATATATTATTTTTTAATAGAAACTAAAAATAAATTTTGAAATATTTATATGAACTAAAACATATTAAACCCTAAAATAAAATTGGATTTTAAAATAGGATACTAAATCATAAGAAAAAGAAAAATAGGATACCGAAACATAAAAAAAAGAAAAATAGAAGATCAAGATTATAATTAAATTTAAAAAATATGTATAAAATAAATCAAACCGTCGAATAATAGTGATTTTCATCGAATCAATTACAACTACGATTCAATGATCTTATCGGATCCAAAACAAATCACATAAAAAATATAGTAATTATATTAAATAGAATAAAATTTATTGATTGTGAAAAACATCTTTAAAAAAAGAAAAAGGGAGTAATTTTATATAGTTTTATTTTATTTTTTATTTTTTTTATTTACTAAGTGCTTACAATTTGATGAGTCAAAGGGAGTATCCGATAATCATTAAAGTTTATATCATAAAACATTACAAAAAAATATTATATTATAAATTTAAAATAGAAATTTAGTAAACTTAACCAGTAAGCATATCTTTACGTTTGAATATAAATTTTTGAATCAATATTACTATTATAAAACAAAAATTCCTAAACAAACGTGTAAATTCATATTTAACCTTTTTAGGCCTAGTGGGTCCCAACTAAGCGTACCCTATTTTTTTTAATCTATAAATACACTCTATTAACCCTCAATTCCCATAGATACTTATTTTTCAGTATTGTTTTCCTCTGAAAATTTCTCTGAAACCATGGCAGAAGAAGTGGCATCACAGATGAACTCCCTCTCAATCTCATCCGCAACAATCTCCCTCGTTTCAGCTGACGACATTGTTTTCAAGGTTGAACCAACAATCGCAAAAGAAATGGAAACCGTTCAGGCCTTCATCGATGATACCGACGGCAAAATCACGACAATTCCTCTCCCGAACATCTCCAGTCACGACGTTCCTTACATAATTGAATACTGCGAGAAGAGCGTCGCCGGAACGATAACTAAGGAGTTCGAATCCGAGTTTGTGAAGAAGCTGAATAATGAAGAGGTGAAAGAGCTTTTCCTTGCTGCGAATTATTTGAACATCAAGAAACTTCTGGATTTTCTGAGTCAGGTTATTGCGGACAGAATTGCGAACAAGAGTGTGGAGTATGTGAGAAGGTATTTCGGAATTGAGAATGATTATACGCCTGAGGAAGAGGCCAAGCTTAGGGAAGAACTGGCCTGGACTTTTACTGGAGTTGATCCAGATGATGAAGATGAGAATTAGGAATTGGGAATTAGGGTTTCGGGAATTTTTTTCATTATTGAAACTGTGAAATTGAAATTTCATATTTTATTTTGCCTTAATAATATACATTCTTGTTTTGTTTATGAAATTGAAATATGTTTTAAGTTTGGAAAATAGTTTATTTTCGCAAAAAAGAGATGTATTTTTTGACCACTCTTTGATCAAAAACATGTAAAACCCTTTCTCTTTTTTTATTTTTCAAAATATTTTCTCAAACTCTAAACCTCTGAAGTTTGAAAGTCAACTCATTTTCTCTTGAAATCATTTAGCACATTTCAAATCTTCTTCCATCAAACAACAAATCAATCGAAGAGCTCATTCACTATCGAACTAAATTTATATATGGTTAGTTTTTTATTTTTTTAAATTTTTTTATTTCTATCTACATTTGTAGAAATTGAACATTAGGTTATGTAATAGGTAACTTAGATATGTTATTTTCAAGAGCAAAGTGTTTGATAGGTAGTTTTAATGATCAATACATTTCTTTTGGATCTTAGCATGGACTGCATTTCTTCCATTAACAACACGGAGATGCATCTCTAAAATTGATCAAACTTCATTGTTTTGCATGACCTCATTGTGTTTCATTTGTGTGATGTTTTTTGTGATTTACTTATAGGCATTATGTTTGATAAACAAGATAGAGTGAGGCACAACAGAGTTGCGCAACATACATTGGTTCAAGTGGAAATATTCCAAGCCTCGTAAGCACCTATTGTTTTAGCCTGATTAATGTGAAGGCGTTAATTTCAAGGGCTCGTGCATTTTAGCCTTCCTCTTCCTGTAGAAGACATGTGTCACCTACTGAGGCACCTGAGGCACAACTGGCACCCTAGTCTTCGCAGGAGGCAACCGAGGTCTGTAGACACCGAGGCCCCGCAAGAATTTGGAGGAGGCTTGTCCGACTTATCACTGTTTTCTCTATACTCTGACCATACTACTACACATATTTGGGATAAAGGGGTAAAATTCAATTATACCCATTCTTTGAAAAGCATGTTTGTTATAATATTCAAAATATTCTTTGAAAGACATGTCTGATGATGATTTATTTTTCTGCAGTGTCGTGATGCTTTAAAATTCATCAACCATGGTAAAAAGATTAAAACTCTACAACATCCTAATGAGCAGTGGCACTAGGATGTGATGCAACTATCTGACTTGATAGATTTGTGCATGACTGATTATGTTACATTTAACCATGGTATGATGTTCGTGTTTGTAGAAAGATGCCACTCAGAGACATCATCATTTCATCTTCCACATAATGATATGTCTATCACATTGGACGATGCCTCATGCCTACTACATCTTCCAATCAGGGGGAGACTGTTAGACCACGGCAAAATTAACATATATGAGGCACTTGAGATAATGGTCGACTATCTAGGAGATGGCCTAGGGGAACCTTTGAAGGAGTTAGAAGCCACAAGAGGGGCTCATGCTAGGTTTCAATTTCTAGATAGGTTGTATACACAGCAGTTGCATGATGCAGAATAATTTGTTGGTGATGATGAGCAGGTTGTGCATTATAGGACATACGCTCTAAGAGCGTACCTATTATATTTGGTTGACACATCCATTTTTATGGACAAGAGTGCCACTTATGTGGATGTGATCTTCCAATGATACTTCGATGATTTGGATCATATCCATGAGTATAATTGGGGGGCCACATGTTTGGTCTACTTCTACTCCAAGTTAGTATAAGGCTGTATGTGGAAGACCAAATAGGTGACATGCAACATCACACTGTTGACGGTAATATTTCTGCATCTTTTAGTGTTTGTGTGTCATTTCATAACACTTTTGCTACGTCCATTTTTGTATCTTTTACTAATGATTCATATACACCATTTTCAAGCTTGGATCCTCTAACACTTCACACATATATTTGGATGATCATGTGTGACGACCTACATTGAGGATATGTCACGAGCTTCTGCAATCATTCCGTTCAAAGGAAATCAGGTGACAGAGCCATATAGAGTGTATCTTGACCGCATGGTAGAAGAGGATATACACTTCCATACATATGTTAATCACCATGAGATGCATTCCTTAGACGACATTTCCTTCTACTTTGGATGATTGGGTGTTGGTTCATGTCTGACGTATCCTCATTTGCATGAGCGCATCAAGTGATAGTTCGACTATATGAAATTTATTCTCAGAGACCCTTTTAAGTATGCTCTTCACGCTATGTCATGTAGATATGTGTTGTACCCCAAAATTTGCCATCTCTTTTCTCAAGACATTTCTCACAAAAAAGATCTCAAATGCTCAAGGGTTCTCAAGGGTTGATCAGACAAGCTCACCTCCTAAGCACTAAGACCACAAATTAGGGTTTTGGTTTTCACAAGAAAAATTGGACTTCTAATGCATCAAATGACTTTCATGGTTCATAATAGACCTCTAATAATGCTCATGACAAGTTTCAAGTCTTGCACCTCAAAATTGCTCAGTCAATTGCTCAGATGACTGAAAATCAACTATATTGGGTAAAGAGCCAACTGTGGTCAACATACACTCAAAATTCATGATTTTTGGCCAAAATAATCATTTTTAAGTCATATTCATCAATTGATCAAGGATTGATCATAATTTCCCAAGAAAAGCACTCAAATCACCAAAATGGCAAAATTGTCAAAGTTAGGATTTTGATTGAGAATGATTGGTCATTAACTTTGGACCTAGAACATGACCTAATGGATTGAAGCAAGATCTTAAGGATTCAAACACAATATGTTAACCTAATTTCATGGCTCAAATCACTTCTCAAGATCAAATAATTGATATTTTAATTTGGATCAACTGATGAAAAGTTAACTGATACACAAAAAGTCAAACTTTGAGTTTTTGGTCAACATTGAATTTCAAAGATCAAGATTCATCAAGATATTCAAAAATATCAAACTTGATTATCAATAATCAAGAAATTCAAGAAAAGTCAACAAAATTCAAGATTTCCAAGACTTAGAAAAATTCTAAGTGTTTTTTAACCTTGATAATTTCACTACTTAATGACAAATTTTCACCAAGATGCAAGATGATTCAAGGAAAACTTTCAACATGAAAGTTGTAGATCTTTATGAATTCTACAACTTTGTCCTTGAGTGTTGATATCCAAAAAATACTTAGATTAAGAGATATAGGCCCATGAAGTCATTACATTTTTGTATAAACACTTAGAGAAATTTTCAACAAGTTTAGGAAGATTTTGGTCCTAACGTCTTGGCAATTTTTCACCAAGCTCCAAGATGATTTAGCCAAAGTGGTAAACATGAAGGTTGTAGACAATGTTTCAAGCTTTCTAAAATGTTCAATAATTTGAAGAGATCATTTTTGAGCTAGGAGAATCGAAGAGAAGAAGTTGGGCATCCATTCTTGAATCTTAGGTCATCTTCATGAAGAACACATAACCAAATCCCATAACTAGGCTGAATAATATTGCTTTGCAGGCCTTTTGACTTGAAAATCTATCCATAGTTTACATAACTAATTAAGATATGATCCAAGAGCTTGAGCCATTGTCGAAGTTAATTTGTCATTAAGGGAAGAAATTTCACACTTCCATTATGGAAAAGTGGCTTTAATCATAAAGTCCACTCTCCTTGAGCTTTGCACTTGTTCCTTCTGAACACACACAATCTCAAAGCCAGAAGCAACTTGTCTAGAGCCTTTAACTACTCAGGCCACTCTCCTTAAACTTCAAACTCACAATCCACTTGTGTGTTTTCACTCTAAATCAATCACAAAGCTTCCATACCTCATTTAGAACTCATCCCCACCCCTGTTTCATAACTGTAACTTCATCTTCATCATCTTCCAAACTCAAAAACTCAAACTTGCAAATTGACTTCTCCTGGAAGATTCAGGCACTTTCAACACAAAGTAAGCATTGCATTAGCTTCATGAGAGTTCAGTGAAGCTATCCAGATCATTACAACACTTCCAGGAGTGCTTAAACCCCAAACATGATTTCCAGTTTTGAGGTATGTTTTCTCAACTTTGAACTCCTTATACAAGCATCATTAATGGTTACTTTGTGAATTAAAAATGTAGGCATCATTGCCCTGAAGTTAACCATGCCTTTAGTTTTCATTTATATTGCCTGAGCGATGTGAATTTTGAAGTTGAGTTTTCTGAAAAAATTAGGTTTTTATTTGGTAACAGCAAAATTCTCATTCATTTTTTATTTATAGTTTATGAAATTTATATGGTTGAATTCGTGTTGAAAATGGAATAATTTTCATGTTTATATTTTTGAAAATGGTTGAGAAATGAACAAGTTCTTAATTCAACCATGGTTGTGTTCTTCTCTACGTGCGCAAGGTTGAAGATGACGTCATTTTCAAATTCAGAAACGAGTTTATTTTATATTCTGTTGAAGTTGCATTATTACCGAATGAAACAGCCACCCCTGTGGCAGAGAAGCGCACGCTAAGGCATTGATCTATAGGGACCTGGATTTGAGCCCCAGTGGTACCCTTTTATTTCTTTCATATTTGTTTCTATGAGATTATATGCACGCAAGTACATGAAGCGCATGGTGTTCCTCATTCTCTCACCACATGATCATCATAAATTCAAATCAAACGCTCCAGGCTCACATGTGCATCATAGACCCTTTGAAACCAGCCACATGGAATTATAACAGGCGTTGGACTTTTGTTTGGGCTTTTTTTTTATTTTTACTTTCATACACCCTCCAAATTACTTTTTAGCGCAGGCCCATATACTTTTTTTTTAGTTGATTGTCTTACCTAAAAAAAAACCCTTTGGGCCTTGCACTCCATTTTCTTTTTTTTAAAACCCCATTTTACTTTTTTATTACCCAGCCCATTTACTTTATTTCTTTTTATTATTTTTTTATCTATTTATTTTTTTAAAACCAAAAATGCAAAAAAATATATATTTTACTTGGATAAATTATATTTAAAATAATTTAATTTAATTCTTTTTATTTTATTTTA